CATGTGCGCCAATGGTGGAGAGAAGTACGTGAGACACTTGACAAGTACCCACCATCGCTTATTCTTACGGATGCCAATACACGAATGGGCAGGGAGAGCACAAGTGTATCAGGACACGCTGGGCCACAAGACCCAACGGACTACAATGGACTGGAGCTTCAGAAGTTGGCCAACCAGTGCGACCTTATGGTCGCTAACACCTTCATCCCTCGCAACCACCCCCACACGTTTCGTGCAAAGTGCGGCACACTGCATCAGCTAGACTACGTACGCCTACACAGGGCAGTTCACGATTGCGCATCGCTGTGCTACGCCATGCATGACCTTGACTTCGCCACCAAGTCACCTGATCATTGGCCGTTGATCGTCTCCATCGCTGCGGCTAAGCTTTATGTTTCTCCTGGGCCTGGTCGGCCCAAGTTGGGCAGGCATAAGCTGGCCGACCCAGTCAAGCAGGATAAGTTCCAACGTATGCTGCAGAACCTACCAGTTGGCACATGGGACACATACATCAACTGCCAAGTGGAAGACTTCAATGGTGTAGTTGTCCAAGGTACTCGCGAGCTCTTTGCTGAGGATAAGTTTTCTCCGATGAAGCCGTGCATCAAGACAGGTACTATGGCACTTATCAGGCTCCGCAGGTATGTTTGGCGTGCCCAGCGAGCAGCGCTTGGTCACTCGTGGGGGCCTGTCTTCCTGCTGGCGCGCCTCCTCCCCAAGCAGCTGGAGTCTTTCGTGTACCCAGCGAACGACAACGACAGGAAGCTGCCACATGTGCCATGCCCGTGGGCCCAGCACATGCATCTACTCAGCATGGCACGCGACCTTTTCCAGGCGGAGGAGTTGTCTATCAATGAGCTGTTTGGGGCAGCTGGTATCTTCATGGAGGAAACATCCTCTATTTTATCCTGGTGCCTGAGGCGTGGCAAGCAGGATTTCCTTTCCCAGATGGCGAAGAAGATTGGTGCGATGGCGATTCTTCACGATGGGCACCACGAATGGCTCTGGCCGCATAGGCTCCTCAGATTCAATGGCGAGCTTGCCAAGAGCTGCGACCACACATTGCTTCCTCAGAAATTCAACCACGGAGGTCTGCCGATCACTTGTGAATGTGAGTGGTCGGCGTCCCTCAGGCAGCATTCCGCGCAGCTGGGGGGCGGGGTCGAAGTTACTGAAGATGAGATCCGTTCCCAATATAACGAGCTCCCCACAGACCGCGCATCACACGTCGCGAGGGAAATCGGCTCTATTCCACCACCCTCCTGGTTAGCTACGAGGCTTCGAGGGGTGAAGGCTCGTCGCGCACCTGGTCACGACGCCATCCAGAATGCCGTCCTCAAGGTTGCCCCCGAGGCCGCCTTCCGCACCTCCAGGCTAGCGCCACAAAGACGGGGCTACTGCTACGAGAAGCGGTCATACATAAGGCTGGGTTGGCGCGTGGTTTGCACAAGGGCAAGTTGGGGAGGACCACGGCTGAGATGTACCGTTCAATTATGCTGAACTCCGATGTGATCAAGCACCACCATGCCGTCCTGCGGTCGGCCCTGGCGAAGAGCATCAAGTTCTTAATGGTGGATTCACAAACTGGGGGTATCAAAGGTCGTCGTGCTGGCATGGCGTCTCATATGGCCAGAGTCTTCCGTCAGATCGCGAAGGCCAAGGAGTTCGCTGCCATAATTATTTTTGTCGACCTGGTGGCTGCCTTTTTATTCCCTTTTGCGGCAGGCAGGTATGCCATTGGAGGGCACCGAAAAATATGTGGATCAAGTGCTGGAGAATGCGCCCGCAATTGCCCACCCTCTTCTGGAAGCGGCTCTCTTTGCACCAGTGCTGCTGGACGAACGTGTTGACCAGCATCTAGTGGCGCAGGTTACTGAAGCCCATAGGCTCACGCATTTCCGCGCGCCTGGGGATAAGCAGTGGGCAGTCTCGCAGGGAAGTTCCGGAGCAGGCAATTCCCTGGCAGACTTCTTCTTCAATGTGGTGTTCGCTCGGCCGTTACGGGGCATTAAGAACGACATGTGCGAAGCTGGTATTGCCCTGGACCTCAAGGAATGCTTAGAGGGTTCTGTTCGTGCTTTTTTTTCACAAGAGATTCCTTTAGAGGGTGATACCTTCACGGACGCCACATTTGTTGGCGACTCTGGTTTCTGTTCCCCATGTTACGACCCCAGCGCCATCAGGGGCCAACTTGCGACTTTGGGCCGTATTATCCGCAGACAGATGGTAGGATCAGGGTTCAAGCTACACTTCGGAAAGGGGAAGACGGCTGCAGTTATCTCATATAATGGTGAAGGCACGCTGAAGGCAAGGATGAAGATGGCCAACATCGCGGCAGTGGCGCTAGACAGCTCTTCTGGCGACCGCATCTCGATCGAGTATTCATATAAGCACGTGGGCAGCATACATTCTGGTGGCGGCAGCATTGGAAGGGAGATACCTCGCAGGAGGCAGAAGCATGCAGCTGCCCTACGTCCACTCAGATCTGCGGTGATTAAGCATAATATCGAGATAAAAGACAAGCTCAAGTACGCCGACGCGCTATGCAGTACCCATTTATTCTTTCAGGCAGACACTTGGGATCGCTTGTCAGCCACGACCGCCACAAAGCTGAACCATTCGCTGATTTGGGGATATAGGGTGGCCACGAAGAAATTACATAATGTATCCACTGGCCAGAGAACGTTGGATGCCGAGGTCCTTGCAATGTCCAACAGGTTGGAGTATTCGCACATATTACGTGTCCGTAGATTGAGGTACGTTGCTAGACTACTACACAACGGCTCGCCTACCCTCAGATTGATACTGGATGCCACAGTGGGTATACCATCGGCTTGGGCCACATTGGCGATCGAGGACTTTATATGGATGAGGAGATACGGCCATGAGGGCCCAGACCAAGATCCTAGTTCCGATGATGGGATAGCTACCTGGATGGAATACGCGGCCAAGGACTTCAAGGTTTTCCAACGACACCTGCGAAGGCAGGTGCTACTTTTTCAAAGACAGCAGCTGGACATATACAAAAACTGTTATGTTGTGCGGATGACCAAACACATTTATCCGGGATTGATTAACAATTGCGAGGATGATCAAGAGCAGACGAGGTTTTCCTGTTATGAATGCAACCCGTATTTTGCCTCAATCGCTGGGTATCGTGGTCATTGGACCCGTGTGCATCAGCCAGTAGACCCAGCGCAATTTTACGCCGATGGGTCAGAGAGTCAGTGGTGCGGGGCTGTGTTCTACGACCGCGCAGGGCTGCTGCGGCACTTGCGCAGACCAACGGGAGCTTGCCTTGGTATCGTGATGTCTTGCGTCGCGCCCCTGGATGGCGAGGCGGTCGTGCAATGGGTGGAGCTGGACAGGGAGCAGGCCATGGAGAAACGGAAGTCAGGCCTTCGTGCAGGTGCGCAGCTCAGGCCCGCTCTCCCTGGACTAAGACAACCAGCTGCTCCCGATGTGCGCCCACTGCCACCGAATGTTGTACTCACCCCTGAACAGCATGTGCCGCCCCCGCTCAGAGCTAGGACCAGGAGTCACGCATGTGTGCTGCACCTGGGATGGGGGCCAAGAGCAATCAATGATTTCTCTGATATTATGGGCAAAGGTACTGGCATATTCCGTTTTTGCTGTACTTTATCTGGATTGTGAAGACCCGTGGGTGACTACGAGGCTGGAGTGTACGATGTTTCTGGATAAGATGGTCCGTTGGATTCAATCTGGTGTTGTGCTGTGAGTCGTGGTTGCACCCCCGTGGGCATCATGGTCTGCGACGCTCCGACGTGCTGGCGCCGTTGGCGAGCCCGTCCGACCTGTATGCCATCCATGGGGTGCTGACCTTGTCCCTGCTTACTGGGCCAAGAAGCTGCGCAGGGAGAATGCTGGGATCAGGGCAGGCTCGCTGCTCCCGGCTGCTGCAGCCGCTGCTGGCTCTGTGGGACTATTTCTGCATTCTGTCCCCAGGGCCGACTACGCTGCGGACATATGGAGTACCGAAGTCCTGGGTGCCCTGGCAGGTCAACCCGAGGCAAGTGTTGGGTGCTTCGACCTCGCGGATTTTGGCCTACCTCAGCGTGCAGTTGGCCGAGTATTGGCGCTCCATTGCCCCCACGTTTCGGAGCTGATGCAGCAGCGTGGCCTCGCGGCTCAGCCGACGGGGGTACTGCAGAGTGATGTTTGGATGTATCCCAGTGGCCTGTGGGTGCTGGTGGGGGAGGCTATGTTGTTGGCCCAGCCTGCACTGCGATGTGACGCTACTGCGGGCTTCGCCGAGGACTCCGAGTTTCTGCCCTTCCTCGCCCCTCCCGAGAGGTATGCAGACCCGCTGGACGAACCACAAGGGTACGAGCCCGTCGAAGGTTCGCTTGTGCTGCCTGTGGGGCTCCCTCCTGCTGTATTCGGTGGCGTTCATCACATGGAGGCCCAGCGAGGTGGCGAAAGCGGCAGGGGATGAAACAAACCCCAAGCGCCGCCCCGCTGGGCCGTTGTTGCTGTCTGCAGTTGGGAGTAGTTTGCGGTGATACCGCACAGGCTATTCAATTACAAGTGCGTGCTGTGTTTCGCCTTCGAGGAGGTGGTGCGGGTGCGGCCCAGCGTGGTGGCGAAAGCGGCGGGGGATGAAACAAACCCCCTGCGCCGCCCCGCTGGGCCATGAACGGCGGTTCGCCTGGCCGAGTGCCGTGCGCTGGCTGGGCGCCGCTGACGTGGTCGCGTCGCTCGACGTATCCATAGTGGGCGCCTGGCGGTGGGACCGCACATGGAGGAGCCCTACGTGCTGGGGCGTCTTGGATTGCATGTGGACTCCGCGGGGCATCCGCCCCTTGGGATGGGAGAGAGAGAGAGAGAGAGAGAGAGAGAGGAGGAGGAGGAGGAGGAGGAGGAAAAGGAGGAGGAGGAGGAGGAGGAGGAGGAGGAGAAGGGGGAGAAGAGGAGGAGGAAAAGGAGGAGGAGGAGGAGTACTTTGAGCTGCCACTCTCTCCGCTCGCCCTGCTCCGAGCCTTCCACCTGGCGCAGCGCCTGCCCGGCGTCGCCCGGGCGGGCAAAGGCGCGGCCCTCCTTGCCCGACTGCGTGTACACGACCGGCACCGACTCCCGAAACGACACGACAACGTACGAGGCGGTGAGCCTGCCAGGGGGGGGCCCACGGACGACGCACGCGCCCAGCCACACACACACACACGAATGCGGCCCCCCCGTCCGCGAGACCAGGCCCTGGATGCGAGCGCTCGCGCAGCGCGCACTTTCGAAACCAGCGTGGGCTCATGTACGTGCACGCCCGTCTTTCGCTCCTCGCCTGTTGCAGATGAACGACATGACCTCGTCCGGGCACAGGCCGACCCGGCGCGTCTGGCCCCGGAATCGGTGTCCCACGTGCTGGCGGTCCAGCCAGAGCTTGATCCACTCGGCGACGAGCCGCTTCATCTTCTCCTCGTAGAAGTCTTCGCTGAGCAGGACGAGGTGGGGCTCTCGCAGGAGGGTCTTCTCCTCGTAGCCCTCCCTGATCCGCCACCGTGCCCCGAGGCACGAAGTGGAGCGGCCTCAGGCGGTGGAGGGTGCAAAAGAGGTCGGCGTGCCAGTAGCACGCAGCTCGTAATCCCACCAGCCCTCTGGGCGTCGGTGGTTTAGGGAGTTTCCTCTTCCACCCCTCCTTCTTCCCCTTCGGGGAAGGGTTTACCCCTCCCCCTACCCCCTCCCCATGGACCTGGACGGGGGTGGGGTCGCGAGTCGTCGGAGCGTCCAAAACGGCCTCGGCGAGGAAGCCAAAATCATTGGTTTTACCAGGATGTTGGCCCCATTTTGGCTTCTTGGGGGGGGACGCTGGTTGAACACCCCCTCTCCTGTGATCGATCTCACCCAAGATGGTCCAAAGATGGCCCCCAAGGCTCCCAAGGGTGCCCCAAGAGGGCCCCAAGAGGTGGCCAGGAAGCCCCAAGAGGCCCCCAGGATGCCCCCAGGATGCCCCCAAGAGGCTCCCAAGAGACCTCCAAGAGACCTCCTAGAGGCCCCAAGATGCCCCCCAGAGGCACCCAAGACGCTCCAAGAGGCCTCGGCGACAATGCCAAAATCGTTGGTTGTATGGCATCCCGGCCTGTGCTGGAGCCATCTTGGGCGCACAACTTGGGCCGTCCTGGGAGCCGCGCGGGCCGGCCCAAGAGACACACAGACCACAACCAACTTAGCGCCACGTTCCGCAACTTCCTCCTCCTCCTCCTCCTCCTTCTCCTCCTCCTCCTCCTCCTCCTGCTCCTCTGACTGTCGTATCGAAGGTTGTTAAAGTCTGGGTGTGAGCTCCTCCAGGTCCCGGAATCGGCTGCCCGTGTCTCCCGTGGTCTCGAGCATGGTGTTCCGTGGGTTCTCGCGTGTGGCTTCCGGTGTGGTCTCGCGTGTGGTCGCTCGCATGGTCCGCCTTCTGGTCTCCCCTTTACGGTCTCCCCTCTAGGGTCTCCTATCTGGTCTCCGTGATGGTCTCGCGTCCTGGTCTCCCTCATGGTCTGTCTTCCTTCAAAAGTCTCCATGACGTGCTCGCCGTGCTTCCCCTCACTCTTTAAAGTCCGCCGGCCCCCTTGTGGGGCCACCAGGCTGTAGGCTGAGGGCTTGCTGTTCCCTGCGCCAGTTCCAGTTTCCACTGTAACAGTTCTGCTTCTTGTTGAGTACTGTTCCTTTTTGTAGACCGCGCGAGGGGGGGAGCCGAAAAGCGTCTGGATTACCACGCCCGATTCGCGTGCTCTGAATTCCTGGGGGGGGCGTGGGACACGTATAAATACATGAAATTCGCGCCCCCGAGGCCATAGACCATCGTCAATTACATCATATTCGCGTCCCCGAGGCCATAAATCCTCGCGACTTATGCAAAATTCGTATCCCCGAAGCCATAAGCTCTCGCAAAATACGCCGTATTCGTGTCCCCGAAGCCATGAACCCTCGTACATTACGCGATGCTTGCGTCCCCGAGGCCACAAACGCTGGTAAATCACGCGATATACGCGTCCCCGAAGCCATACACATTAGTAAATTATGCTATATTCGCGTCTCCGAAGCCATAAACCTGCGAAAATAATACCATATTTGTGATCCTGAAGCCATGAACTACCGTAAATTACAAAGTAACCGCGTGCCCGAAGCCCTAAACCCTTATAAATTACACCAGATGCGCGTCCCCGAAGCCATACACCTGCGAAACTTATACTATAGCTGCAACCCCGAAGCCATAAAACCTCGTAGATTACACGCTCTTCGCGTATCCGAAGCCATAAACCCTCGAAATACAACACCGAATGCAACAATCTCATCAGAATCTCCTCTCCACTTGTCTTGCCGATTACTCGTCTTCGCGCGAAGTCCTGACGCTGCTTCACGAAGGCGCCAAAGCCTCATGATTTCGCTCTTGCATTGCCCATCATCCGAGAGAGGGGGCCGGCGGCAGGGGGCGAAGCCGTTTCGGGTTTGTTTAGACATGCTATTACAAATGCCCGAAAGACTGCCGCCATGGTGCTCCTGTTTTTGTTCTGATTGAAGCATGCTCGGCTTTCCGGCGTTCGGATCGCCCAAAACGGCCCCAGAGGCCCCCAAGGTCGCCCCAAGACGCCCTCCAATGTTCTCGAGAGGGCCCAATAGGCCCCAAAGACGGCTTCAGAAGAGAAAGGGCCTAAGAAGGGAGACTCGAACCGACATGCCAAGCCCTTTCCCCCGTGATGGCCCTCAGAGAGCCCCCTGGGAGGCCCGCAGAAGCC